TCTTCTGGGAATTTCCCACATCCAGTCAGAATTGAAGAAGCTTCTTGATGAAGTCAAGAACCATGACCTACATGACTGAGAATTTGGAGAGTTTTAAATAATCCTTACAAAGCAGTGGTGGGATTCAAATAATTTAACAATCGGTTCTCTGCCCTAATGACCATCTGGGTAGGTGGGGTTCGGTGGTCATGTGACTGGGTGGGCGTAGCCAACTCAAGGTCACTCAGCTTCGCCTTAGCTGCTACAATGGAATAAGGGTTAACCGGAGAGGCAGTTTCTGTAAGCAGGTCAATAAATATTAGGCTAGAAACAACACCAGAATGTTTCCTTCCTGCCCTCCTTACAGGATTAGCCCTGTAAAGTGGAAAAAAACAAAATGAGATTTCTTCCAACAACCGGTTCTCNGTTGTTTCTAGCCTAATCTTTATTGCCCTGCTTACAGAAACTGCCTCTCCGGTTAACCCTTATTACCATTGTAACAACTAAGGCGAAGTGCCCATCGACCTGAGTGACATTGACTTGGCCACGCCCACATGATCACATGACCACAGAGCCCCACCTACCCAGCTGGTCATTAGGGCAGAGAACTGGTTGGTAAATTATTTGAATCCCACCACTGGAGTCAATCTACTAACAACAATAATACAAATGTTTTTTTTTAAAAAAAAATAAGTAAATAAGTAAAACAAACACAAACAAAAAGGTTGATGCACCACTGAGTCTTTTTCTGTTTCAGTTTTCTATGTTTCTAATGACAATCTTAAGTGATAGTTTGTGCTTGGTTTTACATAAGTCTACTCTATAATGTGGTTTACTTGTTTTGGAGATGACATTCAAATCCATTCCAAGAAATAATCCGTAGGTTACAAATTATAGAAGTTAATTCACATGCTATATAACACCAAACTGTTTTATGACTTAATATTATATGTGAATCAAATAATTTTAATGCAAACTATTAACTTTATTACTAACTTCATAACAAAGAGCTACATTTTTCATTTGAAAATTAGCATTATTTTTCTAATGAACAGAACATTAGTCTGCAGAAGGACTTTCTGAAAAGTCAGTTAAGGAAATCTCAAGGTCAAAAATGGAGCAAACTTCCTCCATTGTAAAATTAGTATAAGAAAGCAAATATGGGTACCCAGCTGTAAGAAGACTAAGCCTGGCAAGAATTTATAGGTAGTTCTTAATTTACAACCACAATTGAGCCCAAAATTTCTGTTTTTAAGGCAAGACAGTTGTTAAGTGAATTTTGCCTCATTCTAGGAACTTTCTTGCCATAGTTGTTAAGTGAATCAATGCAGTTGTTAAGTTAATAATGGTTGTTAAGTGAATTTGGCTTCCCTGTTGAGTCATAAATATGTGTTACCAAGTGTCTGAATTTTGATCATATGACAGTGAGGATGCTGCAACAGTTGTAAGGGGGGAAACGGTCATAAGTCATTTTTCCAGTGACATTTTAACTTCAAACAGTTACTAAATAAACTGCTGTAAGTCAAGGACTAGTTCTATTGCCTTTCTGAAATGCCAGCATGTGGATGTCTATGGACAAGAAAGTCCAGTTGCTTCCTGGAAAAAGCACCTTTAGGAAGTCCTGCCTGTGGAATTAGGGCTGCAGAAATCTGGATGACCACCGAATGGCAGCAGAGGGGTATAGAAAGTCCTTAACTCTTTACTGCTATTTAGTTGCTCTATCCTGAGTGATGTGTGTCAGGCCCACCACTGCTGAAAAAGTGCCACTGGTTTACTTGAAGAAACTTGGTAGAAAGCATTCATTTTATATTCTAACATGTATATTATACTGCTTATTTCTTATTCTGCTATTTAACCTTGGCTGTTCAAGTCCAGTCTTTAAAAAAATTCTGAATACTGATAGCGTCAATTGTTCTCTCTTCCTTCCCCTCCCTCCCTCTCTCTCTCTCTCTCTCTCTCTCTCTCTCTCTCTCTCTCTCTCTCTCTCTCTCCACAAACACTAAAATTCAAGTCTCTGTTATGCTTTGCTATAGTACACTATAATACAGTATAGTATAGACCAAAAAAACCCCACCCCTTTGTGCTTAGTGTCTAATTTATCCTTGAAAATTGCTATATTGTTGGATAATATCCCTTGTGGAGTATCTTGTTCTCAGAAATATTAACCATATGGGTTGGGGAAAAGGGTTCTTGATTAAGGTCAAGATTCAAGCCTGAACAAGCTGCCTAATATATCGCGGAGCATATTCATAATGTAACATTTAAATAGCGTCTGATGTAATGGGACCAGTTACTCCAGAGCCATTTTATATAAACCACATGGCGTAACCTAAGTGCAAGCAGTAAACCATTGTTTCTTTTTGGGAAAATAATTACATCTATTCTGAATATATAGACAACACTTAAGTATAAGGTATAATAGTGCTATAATTATGCCACTATTAATGAAATAGTACTAGTGAATATACCCATATTGTGTTGATTCTATAGAAGAGTGTATTAAGAAAGTCAGTCATAGATTCTAAAGAGTATATTTAAGAACGTTTCAAATATAGTTACATGGTGCATATATCAAAGAAAGAATGCAAATGTTTAATTTTAGTAAGATTGGTGAATTCTTTTTCTTTAAGGGGAAGGTTTTTCATAGAACATATTCCCTCAAATATTATTTGTCTTCTAGATTAATATGAAGTGTTACACTTCAGGTGGCGAGGTGGCGCAGTGGTTAGAGTGCAGTACTGCAGGCCACTTCAGCTGACTGCTATCTGCAGTTCAGCGGTTCAAATCTCACCGGCTCAAGGTTGACTCAGCCTTCCATCCTTCCGAGGTGGGTAAAATGAGGACCCGGATTGTTGTTGGGGGCAATATGCTGACTCTGTAAACCGCTTAGAGAGGGCTGAAAGCCCTATGAAGCGGTATATAAGTCTAACTGCTATTGCTATTGCTATTGCTTTGTTTGGTAGAAAGTGTTTACATTCTGGCATGTCCTTTTGAATTTAAGTAGCGCTTTTCTTAAACAATGTTTAATATATAATCTTTTCTATAGTTCCAGTTATAGCCACAAATTGTAAAGCCAAACTGCCAGAATTGGGCTATCACAATTTTTTTTCAATTAAGATAGCTTAATTCCTCCAATTGGCTTCTCACATTTTTGTTATTTCAAATAAAAACCTGCAGAAACTTCCCCAGATACAAAACTGTTCTAATACCTCTTCAATAGTATCACCACATCCCTGTTGCAACCTGGACAAAAAAGTTTGCCTTTCTCTTCTCTTTGGTTTGTCCTTACTGTGTCTTTGCATGGACCAGGGATAGTCCACCTTTTTATACCTACCACCCACTTTTGTATCTCTTGTTAGTAGTAAAATTTTCTAACTGCCCACCAGTTCCACAGTAATGGTGATTTGTAAAGTAGGGAAGTCAATTAAATTAAAAAAAGGGAAGTGCTTCAGTATCGGACAAAACCCCTACCGCCCACCCTGAAAGCTGGAACGCCCACAAGTGGGCGGTAGGGACCAGGTTGACTACCACTGGCATGGACGATCAGTATGATCTATTATCAAAGTCAGTAAAAAAACAACAACAATATGGCGGTATATGCACTAACACATATTCCAAAATAAGCCATTTTGACTTCTATAAAATGCTCTAAAATCCCATGTAAAATGTATTTATACTTCAATATTGACAAGTTTTTAAATTACAGTACAAAATTGTTTCTTTGCTTCCTTAGGCTGGCACATACTAAGGAAATTGGGAGTAACTAAAATTGGCCTTTAAAATAACAGTGGTGCACAGTATTCATTCATCAAGTATTTGGTGTGGTGCAATAAAGCATTTGCACTCAGTATTTGTCAATATGTTACATGCACTTGTTTTACCAAATGTTGAGAAAAGCTTTTCTAGATTTAGTAAAATGTAAGTCAAACTAGGTAAATTCAAAGTGGAACTCGTTTCCTTGTGAGCTCGTTTAAGACAGTAAATATTGCAATTTAAACTGATTGGATTCACCCATTATTGTACAAACTAGTGTGTTTTGTTTGTTCGATGTAGCACGTCGCATGATCCAACCAATTTTGTTTTATTCATTAAAGGTGCTTGAGCAGGTCATGGTTTAATGTGAATCAACCTAAATATTGATCATAAAGCAGGATATATTTTGGCTGATAATCTAAAATAATTAGATTATTTGAAATAATGTCATACAACATGGCTGGGAAACACCTTCCCTAAAAGGAGCTCATCTGCCATGTGCTCCAGTGGAATGTTTGGAGAGCTCATCCAAAGTGCTGCATAACCCTAGGATTCCATGTATTGATTTTGTTTTAAAATAGTATTGGAACAGTTTGTTATGCCTATTTCTTTTTAATATATTTCCAGACAGACATTGTTTTAATACAGTAGTTCCCAAACTTGGCAACTTTAAGACTTGTGGACTTCAACTCTCAGAATTCTCCAGCTAGCTCTTCTGGCTGGAGAACTCTGGGAGTTGAAGTCCNGCAGAAGACTCGTGCCCTATGATTCAGAATTTTGCTGACTTTTCTACTCTATTCTCTCATTTCCTGTTACCTGACCCAAAACAGAACTATTATTAGAAATTTAGAGAGGAAAAACCCAAAAGTTTTCTCCTCTGCAAGTTTTTACTACTTTATGTTTTGCCTAAAGTTAAAAAATAAAAACTTCAGATCACTACTGTACACCAACCTAGGATTTTTCTTTAAAATAATACAGAAATAGTCCTGCCACTGCTATTTATAATAAATATAATACTTCATCACTTGAACATGCAGGCCTTCATATACCAAAATCTATTTTTTCTGTGAAAACTTTTTTCTCTTATTTTCTTTAATTGGAATTTATTTGAGAAAAATGTAATGCAACAAAGCCTAAATGTCTTTTTTCTTATTCTTGTTCTTTAATTACTGGTCTTCACTTTTTTTTTACATTCTTAAGTATGTTATTCTTGGAGTATCTTATTTTCATTTGTTTAAATCACATTAAGGAATTGTTTTGTTTTTCAGTTGCTGGCACAGATAGAGGAGACCATGTACCCAAAAATTGCAATGATATTGAAGTAATCACTCATCTGTTGACTGAGGTAAAATTGTTGTTGTTCTATAACTAAACATAGTTTTACAAATTGGAAATAAATATTTAAAATTTGAGGGGAAAAAACAGATAATTTTAAGAATAGACATTTTATTAGTGTTGTTGTTAGGGTGCTCAAATTCCAACACCATAATCTTTCCCTGATTCGTGTGATTCAAACCTGGCCTAAAATATGGTAGAATCTCATATAAAATGTTACTGTTAGAATAAATAGTAAAGACATTGCTGGACTATTCTTTTACAGTTTGAATTCCAGCCTGATTTTAAAACTGAAAAATCAGTTTTAAATAGCCAGTGGAGTAGGATGCAGGCTGGGAAAAAACAACTCAAAGTTTTATTTTCCCCAGAATAAATCCTGAGAGCAGCAAAGTCTTTAGAAACATTTTTTTTTCCTGACTGGGCCTTAGTCTCAGACTCAGAATTATGGGAAATGACCTTGAGAGAATCCAAACTGGCCAGCAATCAAAGAAGAGACAGCTAAGACCACAGAAGGAATGGGGACATGCCAAATGCCTCAGAAACTATTCTTTCTAGTTTCTTGGACTGTAATGGCAAGGACGCAGGGGGAGATATTCTTTCAAATTTGCAAGATTCTGTTCATGTAACCTTCAAATAAAGACACATGTTAATACTCCTGGGTGTAATTGTCTGGATTATCTTGTAAGGATGACAGTTGTCCTTTTCAGAGTTGCTTTGCTTAGTAGCTCGTGCTTCTATCCTCCATTCCTCCAGTGTTTCTTTCCTTGCTGTGTTAATGATTGCTAACATTGGTATGTGTATCTGGGCCTTTTGTGACTTGGCATAGTTATCTTATTTTCCAAGACTTCGTTTTCTTGATTACAATTATTTATTCTTTGATCAAGTGATGTGGTGGCCTCGTGATGAAGGAAGTCACCTCCCACTCGGAAGGTTGAGAGTTTAATCCTACGTAGCGACAGATGTTTCTCTCCTAGGGTTGAAAAGAAAAATATCTGCTGCAAATTCTGCCTGGCATCAGGAAGGGCATCCAGCCAGTAAATGCTCAGCTCCATCCCATCGCTCTGACACTTCTCTGAATTAAGGGATTACAGGGTCATAAAAAGGGAGTTTTAAATTATTAATTCTTTGGTATTCCAGTGTCACATTTATATTAGAACCACGGCTACATACTCAAAAATAACTTGGACATTGATTAAAAGAAACCCACTTACAAAGGAAAACTGAAGCTGTTTATTTAAAAGTTTAGTTCTCAGTTTATGCTTGATCCGGATTCTAAGTAAAGTGGGAAAGGATGTCTTCCCATTCAGCAACAGGGTGACAGCTTAACTCCAGATTTGGGTGAAACTACTTTGGGGAACACGTATATCCACGGTACCCACAGAACTCAAGAGTTTGGAAGTTGAAGATTAGAGAGAACAAGAAAGGAAATGACTTGTGTTTGTGATACAGCTGATTCTATATCCCCCCCCCCAAAAAAAAGGGCTGGTTCAGAGGTTTGATGAATAGTAATGGCTTTTATGTTGCTTTTGATTTCTGTCTGTTTTTAAATGCCAAATATTTGAAAAAGATCCTGAATGCTGCTACTTTATCAAAACTCCGTCTCTTTTCTTCATTTTTATGCACAAAAGGAAAAAAAAATGCTATCATTTGAATAACTTCTTGTGGTGGGGAATAATGCAGTTTTTAATGGTTTTCTGAGCAGAAAGATCGAGATCTAGAATTAGCAGCACGGATTGGACAAGCCCTTCTTAGACGAAACCATATCCTAACTGAGCAAAATGACGTTCTGGAAGATCAGTTGGGTCAAGCCTTTGACAAAGTAAGTGAACAGATTTAAGTTTTGGGGATTTAAAGAGGCTAATGTATTGTGTAAGCATCTGGTGAAGTTATATTAATTATGAAGGCTGCTTATGGAAATCAGATGAAAACTTTCAATCTATTGAGGTTAGAAGCTTACTTTCCTACAAAGTTTCAAGTTGGTCTTTATTTACTGAAGAAAGGTGCAAGAATTTTGAAGGCTGCTTTATCTATTTCAAATGTGGAAGCGTATATTATATTATGCAGAGCTGAATATTTCGGCTGACCTCTTGCTTGTGTACTTAATTTTTTGTACTGTTTCAAACTATTCTTTATGCTTGCTGCATCTAAATAAAGAGTAAATATAGGAATTACATTTCATGTAAAGTACATAAAATTTGATTCTTGTGCAGTACGAAGATAGGCCAAGTATATTGACATGTAGCGGAAATACACCAAGGAGCGGAGGAATAGGAAAGGAGAGGGATGGGAGAGAAGGTGGGAGAGAAAGGTGAGAAGGAAGGGGGGGAGTGGATGTGGAGAGAGGAGNGGCGATATGCTGACTCTGTAAACCGCTTAGAGAGGGCTGAAAGCCCTATGAAGCGGTATATAAGTCTAACTGCTATTGCTATTGCTATTAAGGCTTGGAGGGAGTCGAGCATGGCAACGCTTGCATCCTCGTGCTCTTCCCTTCCTCCGGGGTTGCCAGATCCTCTCCTCCCTTTTGCAAAAGGTTCCCTTGCCCCTTTGATCATCCCTCCTCTCCTATTTCACCTGCGGGCTCTTCCATCTCCTGAACAGGCGGCTCTTCTCTTCCCTCTTGTAAGACGTAAAGGAAAAAAAATGCTCAAAGGGGTCTTTTTTAAGAAAAAAAAAAAAGCATCAAAAGCGAAGTTGGAAAGAAGAGGTTGGCTCCTCCGTGCGCGACTGTGGGTTTGCACATTTTGCACGAGCGCCTTGTATAAATCCATCCCAAGCACGAAGCAGCTGCTGATGTTGATATATTTTTTTTGTCATTGAGGTCTTGGGCTAGGACAGTCGAGATTAGCCGGTGCTTGTTTCTCCCTCCCACCATTCTTTAAAGGAAATGATAACAATCGGCTCTTTCTCTTCTTTTTTTCGGGATGAGCTCACTTGAATCAGTCAAGGAATAAAGAGAAATCATTATGAGCTCGGAAGCTGGTACCGTTGGGATGGGCCATCAAACAGGACAGCCGTGTCTGTGGATTACTATAATCAGATTGATTTTAAGTATCAGCAATGCACTTATTAAAACATATATACTGAGTGTTTAGTTTTTTTATAATCACTCCTCACTGCAGTCTCTTGGTATTTAACAGTAGACATATTTTGATCAACAATTCAATGGATTAAAATACAAATGCATGTCATTACCGTAACCTAAACTTAAAAGTATAAATAAAAGTAAAGATTAAGTGAGTGATATCAATTCATCTTTCAAAGACTCTCCAAAAATGAAAGCTAAAATGAGCCGATTTGATTTCTAGTGGGAGTCAATCAGTGGTGGGATTCAGCCAGTTTGCACCTATTCGGGAGAACCGGTTGGTAACTTTCTAACTAGTTCAGAGAACCGGTTGTTGGAAGAAATCTTTTGTTTTTTTTCCCACTTTCCAGGGCTAATCCTGTAAGGAAGGCAGGAAGGAAACATTCTAGTGTTGTTTCTAGCCTAATCTTTATTGCCCTGCTTACAGAAACTGCCTCTCTGGTTAACCCTTATTACATTGTAACAGCTAAGGCGAAGCAGCCATTGATGTGAGTGATGTTGAGTTGACCATGCCCACCCAGTCACATGACCACCGAGCCAAGCCTGCCCAGATGGTCATTAGGGCAGAGAACCGGTTGTTAAATTATTTGAATCCCACCACTG